AACTGCAATCATTGAGGGGCTGAACCTCACAGGACCCAATGCGGGTTCCCAAGGCAGCTGCCCTCGTTGAAGGTTTGTACCCATATCCCGTCTTCCTTCAAAACCTTAGTCATTCTTCTCCTTCTTCCTAGAGTGATTTCAAAACAGCCTTTAAATGATAAAGAGATGGAATCCAGCCCATTTTTCCATGTACCTTATTTTCTTCTATGTCTTTCCCTGTCAAAATGTTAATCTCTAAATGTTCATCTCAGTACTCATTGCGTTCCCCGGTGGCCTCTTGTGCACTCAGCTGGGACAGAGCCTGTTCCCTCACTAGGAGATTTTTCCTGTCCTTTCTATGGACGTGCTTACACATTTTGAAATTTCTCTAAATGTTTATTGAGAGAATAAAATGATAGTTTTATTCATTTCTTTATTTTAAATTTTTGGTCTGCTGGGGGCTTGAACCCAGGGCCTTGTGCATTCGAGAAAATGTGAGCTATATCCCCAGCCCCAGAATGAGTGTTTTAAAGAAAAAAGGATAAATTAGTCTGCCTCTAATTCTTCTAAGAATTAAACTACTGTTTAAAAAGCAAATGGGAAAAAATTCCTATAAAATAATATTCCAGACACTTCTGTGTGGACATCTTTAATATTTGAAGTCATGCAAAATGGGCCTATAAAGAGAGAAAGCCCAAAATAAATGTTTGGGCTCTGTTGTGTACTAAGTGAACAACGATAACAAAAAAGTTAGCCCTTGGTGGAACCAGGAAGAAAATCTTTCACCCTGTCATGCATGCCCATTGTGAAGAGATTGACCTCCAAAGGACCTCTTAGTTGAGATAGTTCATGGTACTGATTCCTAAGAATTTAAAAAAATATATATTTTTTTATTCAAATGAAGGAAATAGCATATCAATAAAAATAGCATATTATAGACATAAAATTATACATTTTTACTTAAATTCATCTAGAAGAAACTGGATCATTCAGAATATTTTAACCATGCAATTCCAAAAGAACATGTGTGACTTATGATGCTGTTTATGTTAGAAGCTTTTGTGTAGATGCTGTAAGTTCCCAAAGGCTTCTGGCTGAGGTCTTTCTGGAAGTGCAGAAAGCTCTCCCAGCAGCAGACCAAAGGAATCAACCTATGTCTATAGCATTTCCGCAAATCATGTCCAGATCAGCATTTCCCTAACCAGGCTTCACATCCCAAAACATAAACAGACATGCACACAGTCTAAACTCCCACACACAGCTTTAAAAGATCTCATTAAGAGAAAGCAAATTGTTTCCCTGTCTCTTACTAAACAATTTTCTTTTTAATGACTTTGAAAAAAAAATTCAATCACAAAGCACTTTCAACAGACCAACTTAAATGAAAATCTTTACACAAGAGGGCTATTAGAAGATTAGAATTTGAGGGGGTGGGACAGTGGTAGTTACAACCATAGAAAAGGTGGTTATCCTATCATGTGTATATCTCAGAGAACAACAAAAGAATATGAATGATTTTTCCCCTCATTTGGAAGTTATTAGTAGACTTTGCTTTGTTCCATTGAGAAATAAGAGAAGAAAATATGAAGTTACAGTGAACCCATATGGCCAGCAGGAAAATCCTATTTAATTGCTTTATTGCCAAAAATGTTAAATCACTTCCTGAGGATGCAGTTCAAATGAAACATATGGCAGCTATTAGCAAAAGCTCCTAACGAATTCGAAAATATGCTTTTTATGGGAGCTTTCTCAAAAGCAACAGTCAAATTTGTTATTTAAACTGTGTTACAGATACGCATTTGGTATGTTACTTCTACAAACTTCAATGAACACCTACTGGGTGCTAGTTTACACAGCAAGCTTACTTGGGAAGTTTCATCTTAAACCCAGAAACAGAACACTTCAGCATTTCAGGTTGAAGCCTCAAATCAAACTATGTCTCATCTCCGAAGTCAAAGGCAAAAAGCATCTCCCAGCCAATGTCTCCATCCCAAGGGTTCAATGCCAGAAAAACATCCCATTTCCACCTGAAAAGTCCCAATTATCTGGTACCGACTTATTTCTCACAATGCTACACCATTGATGGTGCTAACCGTTGCCATTTAGCACTACTTCGAGGAATTATTCTTTATCTTTTTCACATCTTGTTGTCAATTCAAAGTGAGAATTCCACAAACAAGAAAACTTTGCTAATGGTTTTTGTACCTAGCATAATGGGAGGCATGTAATTAAGAATCAGGAAATAGTTTTAATTAATTGAAAATTAAATGTCAGTGTATTCTAATTTCTTTAATGCCTCTCATCTCTGGGAAATTTTAGAAATTTAGTCAGTTTACTTATAAATCATTTTCTAGAGAAACAATTTTCTTTCAAATTCAAAGTTTAAGTCAGTTCAGAATATCCAGATGTTATTACTATGTGGTCTTATTTTAAAAGAGAAGTTCTCGAATTTTAGGTTCGTTAAACTTTATCCATCTTTTCTCTACATTGTAATGTCACCATTGCAGTTATTAAAGGAAATGAGATTTGGGAGCAAAAGAATCGTACAGAAAATGGTGAGATTCCAAAGTAATTGGGATTGGCTACATGAGATATTGGCACTGGATATATGAAGGCTAAAATGGTTCTACTTCATAACTAAATTCACTGATTAACATTTTTATTAAATTTATCAATGCCCAGTTATAGATTTCTTCAATCAAATAAAATATGGGAAAGACCTGTCTTGGTTGCTAGTCATTCTTGTGATTTGGGGCAAGACATTAACATTGTCTTCAATGCTTTAGCTGTAAGAAGAGAGAGATGAGATTTCCAAATATCCTAAACAGATATTCATCTACAGGTAGTTTGTTACTTAAGTCAATGTCCTATCATGGAACCTCTCCAAATTTTTTCCTCCTTCATTTCCCAACGCTCTAATTAGAGCAGCCTCAGAGGTGAAGGCGCCAGTCCATTGCTGATGGTGTGACATTATGAAAGTTACTTCAGTTTCTGGGACTTTAGAGGGTCGTTGTAAGAATTGAGGGAAAATTTACCCGTTAAAAATTGTGCCTTGGGGCTGGGGATGTGGCACAAGCGGTAGCGCGCTCACCTGGCATGCATGCGGCCCGGGTTCGATCCTCAGCACCACATACCAACAAAGATGTTGTGTCCACCGAGAATTGAAAAATAAAAATTCTCTCTCTCTCTCGAAAAAAAAAATTGTGCCTTACACTTACTAAGCCCCAAAGAAGTGTTGGTTATTTTTCTACAGAGGAAGTTCCTCTAGTCATCTTCCTTTAATTGCCAATCACTAAACTTCACTGCGTTGTCAATCAGGGAAAGGGTTTTTTTTTTGTTGTGGTGGTGGTGGTGATTGTTCTATTATTTGTTTGTTTGCTTTTCTCAAAGAGAAAACTTCGTTTAATACCCTTGATCAATGGTAAATTGAGGAGTTAGACTTAATATATAGTACATAGTATGAAATTAATTTTGTTTTTATTCTTCTCAAGAGAGACACATTAAAAAGTAACCAACATTCACCAAAACTGTAGGATAAATTTGTTGGAAAGGGAGAAAATGACCTTCCTGCTGTATTCAATCAGAGAAGTTCTTGCAATCAGATGACACACCTACCAAGGGAAAGATACTCAGAAGAATGCTTGGAAGCCTCTGCTGGCTATTTGATGAGCTGGGCCTGATCCTCCTACTACTGACTAATATCCTGATATTCTTCATATGTGTACCTTTGTAAGGGTGCAGATTTGATGGTCAATCCAGAAAGCAAGTGTTGAACAAATAAATAAAACAGATTGAATCAAAACATGCTTCCAATATGCATAATTCTTGCCAAAACAAACCCCTCCCCTATTTTTATCTATAGAAAGTTTTACTTTATATGAATGATTGTACCAATCTCCAGATCCACTGAATTCCAAAGGTGATGATCTCAGCAGTCATCATATCTCACAAAGATATGGGCAGCTTGGTAATCATTGTTTCTGGAAATAAAAATTGATGTCATGTTCTTGCACTATTAATAACAGAGGTCCACTTGGACCTCTTCTCTTGCTCTTTCACACACACACACACACACACGCACGCGCACACATTTATAACAAAATCACCCACATTATCCTGCTTTTCTTGCCTCATCTCTGTAGACTGTCTGCTAAAGAGGGGGAGAGAGGCACCACTTTCAGACATATTGCTGTGGCTGGTTGTGGGAGGGGACATCAAATCTCAGTGGCTCAGATAGATTTATAAAAAGGCTTGCAGTTCAAGTTAATGAATAATTGAAGTAAGAACCAAAAATTCAGCTTCCTTAATTTGTTTTAGGGTATCCACAAAAGATAGAACTAGACAGTGATTTTTTTTAAGTCTTTTGAAATATCGCATTCTGAACCCTATTTTTAAAATAATGATCGTGATAACTGCTGGGAATGAAACTTCTAAATCTTTCCTATCAGCAAATTAACCCACTGGATCAACGCCCATAGTAGTAAACAGTCAGAGCAGCTAGTGTTTTCCTGAGGACCTTTTGGGTTTTCTAGAGGTTCCAAATCTTGGCCTTTCAGCAACCCTGAGAAGTGGACGTGATTATCCTTGCTTTGTAACAGAGGAATCTGAGCCTGGAAAGGTAAGACAGCTCATTCAAGTACACACAAGAAATAAGGGACAGGGAAGAGATTTAACCAATTTGCCTTTTCTGCCTCCCAAAAATTGAACAAAGGAATTGAACTATAAAAATTCGGCCCGATTTCTCCAAAGAGTGCTTTTTGTGTCTCTTACTACCAATGCCTTTTAAAGATAATATGGGTATATGTTAGTTTGAGTTATCTTCAGACAAGAAAATAATAACAAGTTGATTTACAATCATCACAGGCGGATCTAATGACTTCCCAACAGTTCCACAGAGCTTATTTTTCTATATTGTCATGCTCTATTTAATTTTTGTACACATGATACTTTATTCCTAATGATGCGATTTATTGTTTCTTTCTGATAACATCAAAATTTTGTGTTTTTCTTTTCTTTTTCAGGCTATGCCAGGTGTTTCAGAGAAGGAAAAGGCTGGTAAGTTGACACTTTGGTGTTTTTTTTTTCATATTTCAGAATAAAATTCCATTTTAAAGTAAACATTTTATTAAATATCTAAAATGTATGAATTTCATCAATATCTTGGGAAATGTTATTGTTGAATTCCTGAAAAAAAAAGAATTTATTGTGCTCCTAATGTAAGAAAAACCGTGTAACATAACATTAAAAATATGTAACATAACATTACATTATAATAAGACTTCTCGTATCCTCATAAATACCTGCAACCGCATTTTTTAAGGAAAGCAATTCAATATTAATCAATGTTGTGAAGAAACAGTCTTTGGAAACTGGTTGTTACTAATTATCAAGATTTATTTTTGAATCTTAAGTACATATTCAGTAACCATGGAAAAACTCATACTTGATGTTGAAAGCTGATGCTATACTCTCAAATATATAGATATGAGGCAATATGGAGAACTGTATTAGAGATAAAATTATGTTTTTATGCTGTGTACCATGATTATAACTATTTAAGAATATCATGGAAAAACAGGTAAGGATTGATGAGAAACATGGAAATATGAAAATTAGATTCAGATTGGTGATCCAGTGTGCTTTTTAAAAATCTTTTGATCTTCCCCAATATTGTCTTATGTATTCTAACTAAAACTAAAAAACAAAACCAGAGTAAAGATGTGCCAACAAACTTGAAGCAGATCACATAATGCATAGACATTCGTGATGCTTAAGAACCATGTGAAAAGTTTATAGTGTCATATAAGAGAAGATACGGTTTCAAGTGCCTTTGTACTAAAGCGTAAGAGTTTGTCTGATATGATTTTGATACTGGGGATGTTCATCTTCTATTTCAGAGATCTTATTTTTGCTGCTAGATAATGTTCACAAGTTTTCATGGTTTGTTCCTTCTGTGAACTAAACTTTTCTCTCGTATTTAGTCTGTGTCTGATTTCTTCAATAATGTTGAAAATGCTTCAGAATAGAAGGGAAACGTTGAACTGGCCTGATATTGTCAAGGCAAGAGGAAAAGTGATGTATTTAACAATATACTAGTGTTCTATGGATTAAGTACAAATATTAAATAAATTGATGCTTTCTTTTTCCTGCATTTTCATTGGTACATTATAATTGTACATAATGGTGGGATCTGTTGTTACATATTCATATACGAAACAATTTAACAATATAATTTGGCCAATATCATTCCCCATAAATGAATTTAAATTACAGTTCCAAAGCCCCAATCTTTAAATAGATTCTGTTGGCTATATATTTAGAAAAAGTAGTAAATAGTTAAGTGGGCATGTGCATCACAATGAGAAAGAAATGTAGCTAAAGTCCCGTTTTATCTTGGGTTATAACATTCTCTGTAATTCCCCTGATTAGTTGCAATTTAAACAAAGTATGTAACAGAGCAAAGTTGTCATCTTATTCCAGAATATCAGCAAATTCTTTCATACCCCAAGGGGAAAATTTGGATGTGACTTGTTGGCTGGTGAAGAGGAGAAAGAGGGAGTGGACAAGGCTGTCGTTAGAAGAGATAGGGAAATAAAAAGCTACCTCCTTCCTCTTTCATTGAAATGGCTCCAGTTTGAGAAAGAAACATTTCATTTTATCACACCTCTCTAATACTTTGAAAATTTTATTGCAACAAAGAATTAATTAGATAGGGAGCATAAGGACAAAACTATCATCATGGAAATTTTCTTCCTCGATGACAAAAAGAAACATGAACTTAAATAATGTCCTTCCTATAATATTTTAGATGATTTCTCTAGTGATGTGGTGCAAATAAAAGAGTTAATAGATTCCGTTCCCTGGGGTTCCATAAATGCCTGTGAAAAGCAGGACTCACCAGCGGGCAGGTACAACCTGCCCCAGACACCCAGATACCCATCCCAGAACTCAGCAGCCTGAGATGAGCTGATCTGAACGGATCCTGTCTTCCCTTGTACATTAAAACAGCAGAATGACTAGGATTTTGATTTAAGAGTCCTAGAGAATGTGTTGTGTTTAGGAGAAAATATAATTTAATTTGATAACATAAATATAAGAAAGAAATTATTTCTTCAAAAATGTGAGTGAATTTGCCTGACAAGACGAATGCTTATGTTTGACTAATTTATGAGTGATGGTGGTATCAGATTTGACAATTCAAAAGAGAATAGGATTTATTTCAAAAGTTGTAAAGGACAATAACTGTCTAAGCCATCTAATTTTTGCATTTCTAAACTTTTTCATGCTCGATTTAAAATATGGTGAGTGTTCTGTACACAAATGTGAATCTCTTTATTCCTAGATCTATGCATCTTTATTTTTAATCTCCCACCAGACAGTGGAATGGCCATGAAGGCAGAGGACCTTCTCAATCTTGGGGGGGGGGGAAGCGGTAATTGAGCTCTTAAATAGGATTAGCTTCAGACCCACCCCGAAGGGGTGTCATTTTTTTCCCCATCTTGCTAAATGAATGTAGCCTATTGTTCCTTATTGAGAAAGACTATTTTTAATCCTTGTGACCACTCATCCAAGCCAACTGGAACCAACTCTACCAGGCTTTGTAAAGCTCTAAACAGAATCATTTTGGGTACATTCCATTAATCCTCCCTGCATTTCAGTTATGTGTTTGTCCCCATGTGGGCTTTAAATAGCTGTCTTCTGTTATGACCCATGCTGCTGTGCTAACACAGCCAGTGGGCTCCATTCTGCTGTTCTCCTACCTCAGGAGGACAAACACGCCAAGGGGAAAACACTTTTGAAATAGCCCCCTAGATGCATTTGTTCCATAAGTTCTTATTAAACTACATTTTCTGGGCATTCTATGAGGTTCTCTGGACCTAAGAGAAATTATGAATAAAATATGGTAACTGCCTCAAAGAAACTCAGATTCTAATTGGAGAATATCCTCTCAGGTAAACATCTTCCTCCTCCTCTTCTCAACTGAGATTTTTTTTTTTTTTAAAGTAGCAGGGATTGAATTCAGGGGCATTTAACCACTGAGTCATATCCCAGCCGTTTTTATTTTTTATTTTAAGATAGTATCTCACTAAATTGTTGAGATTGGCTTTGAACTTGTGATCCTCCTGCCTCATCCTCCTGAGCTGAAGGGATTACAGGTGTGTGCCACCATGCCTGGCTCAACTGAGAATTTCTTATCCTACCTTGTTCAAAAGCTTCCTAGGAAAAGAATCATATGAAAGTATTATTTCTGGGAATCTGTATCAGAATGTGCATTTTAAGAATCTGAAATACAGTCTAAACAACTTGTTGTTAAAATATTAACTTCATGACACACGTGTATATATGTATACACACATACATATATTTATATCCAATATATAATATAATATTTTCCTCTAACCCCCCCATCAGACACCATAATCTGTGTGCCTCTAAAGAGAAGGCCCAATGCCTTTGGCATATTCTCCAACACATCTGCTTCCTATCTGTGTGGCCTTGAGCAAGTTGCTTAATTTCCTCATTTATAGAGCATAAATAAAGAATCTGCCATGGTATTTTTGTAAGACAACAAATCTTGGTACGAAGTAGTTCTAAAAAATGGTAGCTATTTTTTATGATGATTAGCTGTGTTCATGATCTCTGTGTGTCCGGAGAGCTGGCTCTCTGCTGTCTGTGTGTGCCCTAAAAGTCCTTAATGCTTCCTCAGGGCATGGAGTGACAGCTAACCAGCCATTCATGTGGAAGACAGAGATGTTCCCTTCACAAGTCCTCTGAGTGGGGTTAATTCAGACAAAGGTTGTCACAGTAGAGGCGGAGTTGGTCACATTTAACCCCTCATTAGAAATTATTTTCTCTACAAGGCTGATATTCTTTTTTGTGAACAGATAATCTTGAATTTTTGCAAAAGATTAGTCCCTGGGAAATGTATACCCTCTGTCCCATTTTCCCATGACTTGCTTATCCTCCTCAATCCCCAATCCCTGGGGAAATTGGAGCCTATCTACCCAGCAGCCCTTTTGGATCCTATCTCCCTCACTTCCTGCACATAATCCTTGTCCATTTTTCCTACCATTGCTTTGGTTCAGGGCTCTACTTCCCATAGAACTTTTGCAACAGTATCCAGAACTAGTCTCTCTGCTTTATCTTTACACCCATCTTCTCTCCACACTGTGATCTGACCTTTCTTGGAAAAGCAGGACCTAATCATACCAATTACTGCTCATTTTACCTGTCTGTGCATTGTCTATAAAATAAGATAGAACTTTCCTGCTTGACACACCTGGATATTAATAATCTGGATGCAGTATAAAGTATTGTACTGGGTATAGAAATTTTGCCCCTCAGATCCACTCCCTGCCTTGCTTCTCCCTGGCCAGTGTGGACTAAAGCTTCCATCCTTTCTGTCTTCCCCAATCAACCAAGGAGGAGCCTCAGCAAGAGACTGGGTATGGGGGCGCTGGACCATTGAATCTGGGTGTTTCATTCCCTCAACTGCCTCGCATCACTGATAGTGTGACCTCCTGTTGCACACAAGTTTCCAGGCTCTGACAACCACTCTCTCCTCTTGCCCTGTGGTTTCCCTACACTTTTATAAATAGTTTCCTTTTTAACCCCCCCCAGTTTACCCCATGTGCCATTAATTTCCTATTAGGAGCTTCCTGGATATACATAACAATATTTCCCCTTCTTTCTATTCCTTTGTTGGTTGATTGGTACAACTACAGCCACCCCATCCAATGACAGAGACCCTTATAACTCTTTTATCTTTCTACTTCTGCCTCCTCTGTGGCATGTACTTGTTGAAAAAATTACAGTTGACATACAGAAAAGAGAGAAGTAGAGAGAAATTTGTCTAATCTAGAAAAAAATGATGACTGTTTTTTCTGCCTCCTAAATGAACATAGTCATGCTTCATACTTTGGGGAGAAATATATAGGCCCTTATGATTTATAAAGTGCTCTCTATCGAATAATAGAAACATGTAACTGAGAAAATAAGTACTTCAGCTTGGCCATTAAAATGTGACTCTGAACATATTTGAAAAGTAGTAATAT